CGGGCACAGCGGCGGTGCTGACCGAGCCCCGCTGCCCGGCGGCCACACGCTGCGGGCCTGTCACCCTGGGCCACTTTCTCCACTGAGCTGCAGCCAAGCCCACCGCGGGCCCCTAGACAGGCCATCGGGGCGAGGAGCAGCGGTCAGGGCCAGCTCAGCTGCCCTCTGTGCATCTGTGGTCTGAGTTTGTGCTCGCTGTAGCCTGTGGAAATGCCTCGGCTAAGGAGGACGAACCCCAGGGGCCCCCTCACCCCGTGTCAGGGATCAGGACCCAGCCGGCCTCTGCCTGCCGCCTCAGAGTAACGGCATCTCCCGCACGCCCCCGGGGACCTAACGCGAGATGCACCCCACTGGCCGTGTCAGGCAGCTGCCACGGCCCGTGACCCGGCTGACGAGGGCACGGCCACGGCCTCCCACGGCTCCCGTCGTGGGCCCAGCCCCTGGACCCGCGGCCTCACAGGCCTGCCCTCGTCCTTCTCAGCCCGCGGGCTCTGGTGAGAAATGCCCGGAGGCCGCAGGCCGCGGGAGCAGCCTCTGGTACTGGTGACCGTCGGCTCCTGGGGTTCCCGTGGCCCCTCATGGACTGATGTGGAGGATGGACACAGGCCCGGTACGCGCCTTTTTTCGTAGCCCTTAACTGAAGCTCCCACTTTTGCAGTTGTTGAGCGTCCTCTGGTTGTGCCCGCCCCACCCGTCCTTCCTTGTACCGCCTCGTCGACAGTAACCCCATTTTCACCGAACCTGTGTGTCCCGGCGGGCGTCTGGGGCCAGGCTGTCCCCCCCAGGCTGCACGGACAACAGTCTCCCGGGTCTGCTCCCCACCAGCCCTGGCCTCAGGCCACGGTCAGCACAGGCTGACGACGGCAGGACCCAGCTCTCTGGCCTGGTCTCCAGGCCCCGCGCCCACCCGCTGGGGTACAGGGAGCGCCTCTGCCCCCGGTAACCCCCGGTCAATCTCCTGGCCCCAGAGCAGGCCAACACCCAACACCCCTTGGGTTGTAAAGGTCTAAGTGAAACAACAGAAGCTCCCTCATCTGTCAAGATCAGGCCTCCGCTGCCGCTATCTGTCCAGCGGCTCACCAGGCCACGCCTCAGCCCGGAAACAGACACCTGCTGCTCTCCCTCGCCACCAACCGCTTCCCTTCTTGACCCGGACGCCCCAGCCCCCTCCCGCCCCTCCTCCCGGCCCACGTGCCTGGCTGCTGCCCTCAGCGCATGGACTCAGCTTGGGCTGGGCAGAAACTGGGGGGGCCACGTGTGGACAGAGCCCCCCAGAGCCCGGGCTGCTGCTCCTGGCCTGTGCCCCGCTGTGTCAGCTCCCAGGGCCACGGTCCAGGAGCCCCTTCAACCCGCCGACGCAGGGCCTCCGGACAGCCCCGCCCTGCGCTGAGACCCGCGCCTGGGGGCAGCGGCCTGGCCTGGGAACTGCTGCCCCGGCCACAGCGGGCAGCTCTGCCCTCGGGTCTCTGCTGGCCCTGTCTCAGCACTGCAGCGCCCCTGGCCCGCTCTGAGTGAGGGTCGCAGGAGTGAGGCCCTGCCCTGCCCCTGCAGGCCCCTCCCAGCCCTCCCGCTCACCTGGGGCCCGGAGCAGGAGCAGGGCCAGGAACAGACAGCCCGTCCCGTGTCCCATCCCTCGCAGCAGCTCTGCTCCCCGCAAGCTCTCGAAGCAGCCAGGAGGGCCCCCGAATCTGCTCCAGAGCCAAGGGGACTTGGAGAGTCGCTTGTAGGTGTCTCTCTCTCTTTTTAACAGTGACTTCCCTCTTTTTTGCAATGACTTCCCCCTTTACACATTAGGGAAGGGGCGTGTTTCTTCGGGGCACTGATGTCAGGTGTGAGATAGACCTTCATGGAGGTGGGGAAGAAAGACCCCAGAGGAGGGGAGCAAGGCCCCTGCCAGGGAAGACCACACTCTGGGTGAGGGCATGGAGGGGGGGCTGGCACGGGAGACAGGGGCCCTTGGACCTTCACCTGGGGGGCCACAACCTCGGGCCGTCCGCCTCCTAGGAACAGCCCATCCTAACCCTGGTTCATGCCCCCAGAGCAGGGACCCCCTTCCCGCCTGGTCCCCGCTCCCAGCCTGGCCACTCTCAGCAGAGGCCGCCGTGACTGAGCCGGGGAGGGGACGGGCGTCACCGTCCGCCTGTCTGACCTGGGCTTCCTCCTCCTCCTCCCGCAGGTCTCCCCTCCTCTGGGCTGTGGCTCCCCTCCTGTTTCATGGCCCGTGAGGGCCTCCCCACACCGCCCCGTCCCCTTAGCTGAACCCCTCTTTGCTGCAGCCCTCTGCTTGCTCCGGCCCCATCTGGCCTCTCCTGGCACCTGGCCTCCACGCCCTTCCCGCCCACCTCCACTCTCACTCCACAGTGGGTCCTCACACACCCCACCTGCCCCCCCCTTTCCGGCCAGCTCTGGTCTCACTGCAATGCCTCTGTCCCAGGCGGGGGCAGAAAGGGGTGTCGCCAGGAAACTCAGCTGGACTGTCCACTCGCTCTGGTGCTTTCCTCACCCCCCTGCTCCAGTCCATGAGAAATCCTCAGGGGTTGCTCCATTCTGTGGGCGCCTCATAGGGGTCTATGGGAGCCCCCCGTGGTGCTGGGGGCCCTGTCATAACTCGGGCAGCTGATGAGCCCCAGGGAGAGTCAGGCCTGGTTCACAGCCCTGCCCCATCCCCGGGGCGTCGCCTCTGCTCTGCCCATTCTCACTACAGCCTGAGACCGGTGTGATCGTGTGATCGGGCCTGAGGGGGGGCGGATGTGGAGCAGGACCCCCAGACAGGCCATGGCCGTGAGGAGCAGGGTTCGGGGTGGGGGAGCCAACCCTCAGCGTTCCGAGAGCAGCAACAGAGAATGTGAGGCCAAGATGAATTTCTGCAGCAAATATTTCCTTTTTTTTTTTTAAGATTTATTTATTTATCCATACAGAACTAGGGTACAGGCCAGAGGTGCAGGGGCGGAGAGAGGACTCCCCAGAGACAGAGTGGGAAGCAGAACAGGACGACTGAGGAAGTACACTGCTAAGGGGAGCCGCAAATATTTCATCCAAGCAGAATTACAAAATTACAAGCAAAATTAACAATGATGAAGAAGAGATATGAAACGTCAAATCCACCCTGACGGCAGAAGGAGCAGGGCCCGGGACAAGGGGCGCTCCCGAGGCAAAGGGACAGCTGGGGACGTCCTGGGGCCGTCAGCGAGGGCAGTTTCTTGCGTCAGGGACATATGCCAAGAGGAGGGCGAGGGACCTTCTAGAGGAAAAGGCAGCTGGTAAACACTTCTCCTGTGCGATGATGTCATCTGCGGTCACTAGGAGCCCGGGAGCGCGTCTCAGGGGGGAGCTCTCAGGCCCTGCCACCCCGCCCCAGGCTGCTCGATCCTGCATGAACCTACCTGCGGCCGACTCGGGTCTCCGGACGGGCCGGAGTGGCGGCAATGGGGCCCATTCTCCGTCTCCTGGAATCTGGACGGCTCCAAAGTGGGGTCTCCCTGACACGGTGGGCTGGGCCGGGCCTGACTCGCGCTGCTCTGCGGCCTCGGGGCAGCTTGCTCTGCTCCAGCCCCCTGGACGGTGAGACGGGGCCGGGAGCACCAGCAGGAGCTGCAGGGCCGTTCAGGGCTCGGG